TCCAAAAAGTTTTTTTTACTGATCGAAAAAATTTTTTTCTGGAAATTAAATTTGTTTTTAATTTTGAATTTTTTCAAAATTTTGATTGTCTCCAGTTTTTATTCTTCTATATTTTATATATTTCACAAATATATATAAAATAAAAAATTCATGTGGGTACTCAAAAGAAAGGTCTCGACGTCTCGAGGAGTGTAACATCGGAACGAGCTTATCCTATTCCTATAATATCCTATTCCTACAATATAAAATTGATGATTGAACTGAAGCTAGTTTAATATCGAAAATCTCGAAAGAATGGTTACTGATTCCATATTGGTTAGGATTAAAGCGCGCGCGTATGCGCGCAATTTGAATTCCTAGTATAATAGAAAATGTCAATAATTAAGAAATTACATTGTATCTTGTCACCTTATCATATTTTTCAAGATATAAGTTCATTTCGATATTCTACTCATCGAGACCTTTTATTTAAGTGCTCTCATGAATTTTTAAAATATTTATATTACTATAATATTATACAAATATTATTATATTATCAGAAAGACTTTTCTGATAGGAACTGAAAATTGTTGAAAAATTGAGGTACTCAAGAATTAAATTAAAAAAAATTCTTAATTTGACGCGAAATGGTTTATAAACATATTTAAACTTTATAATATATGTTAAATTAACTATGATCAATATGTAAAAATATGAAATTAAAACTATTTGAAAATAATAACGTTTAAACTTTAACAAATTTTAACTACTCAATTTTCTTTAATTTCGTTTCTTTTAAATATATACACTGTAGATAAATAATTTATATACTCTTCTTTAAAATTTTATAGTACCTAGGAATTTCCCTCAGTGCGACAGTACTCATGTCTATCAAAGAGGAGCAAAAAAAGAGAGACAGAGAAAAGCTCAGATGGAGTGGGTTGAAAGAGGGTGATCGGTCGTTCGTAAAATAAGCTCTGCAGGGTTTAGTGGTTGCGCTCGAGGCAGCTTAGGGGCGCAAACGTTGAAGTTAGCCACCCTGAGCTGAATGTAGCCCTAAAAACAGAGCCCATGCCTTCTCCTGGCCTAGTCTCCCTATATTCGTTCCCCATCTGTGTAACTTGTATCCTGAGCTCCTGTGTGTTGCCCAGTTTGTAACCACCACGGAGCCACCACTGCTATGCCATTCAACATCCCCTTTCTCCTCACTCTTCCGCCCTTTTCTCGACTGGGGCACCCAGCGAGATTCTAGCTGCCGATGACGTTTCCACGTGAGTAACCCTGAGGCTCGCGTGTTTTCGACATTCACCGGCTTGATGATTTTTATTTTATACCATAAAGTTACTCGAATCTCTTGACTGTGAATGTACTTTCAACTTTTTTTCAGACTTAATGTTCTGCATCGAATTCGTTATTTCTGATTTTTTATGGATCGTGCTATTTATTTTATTCAGCTGTATATTCCGGATTTATTTAGCATAGGCGAGTCATTGTAACTAATCCTAAATTTCATGGATTAACTCAATTACTTCGCAACAGTAAGTTGCTTATATACTTACTTCCACCACACTTAATCTAACTTGTGATTTTTTCTAAACACTGACTGACTTCTGCTTTAGAGGGTGTTTATATGACTGTGCAACTTAGCAATAATTTTTGGCAAGTTACAAGAGTATTTGTTATATTTATCAAACTTATCGCTAAAATAATATAAATACTAATAATGTATAACTTAATTCATGAATTAAAAACAAAATTCAATAAAAAATTTTAAACTATTTATTAGAACAAATTTTGGAAAAAAAATTATCTTGTGAAGAAAAAATTTCTCAAATATTTTTCAAACAATTGCAGAGATTATAAGATTTGTATTATAAATGTTCAAATTTTAAGTAACTGCTTAAGAACAACAGTTTCCAAGTTAATTAGAAAGAATTTTGAAACTGGATGAAAATTTTAATTAAAGAAAACAATATTTAGAACTACTTTGTGACATATTGACTGACGAGCTACCCGAAAACATTACACGAAAGACTCATCAATATCGTAATTATTGAATTTACATCATGATTAAGCTATGATGCAGACAATAATTCTAAAACTGCTGCAACAGTAAAACTGTTCCATTAAACGAACTCTAAAAGGAGTAATATTGAGGGTATTACCTCTTCTGAGTAGTGGAAATTGAAGCTTATTAGAAGAGCTTTACGATGCATTTTACCGAATTTTAATATCTTGTCTAGTTCAGTAATTATACCAAGTTGAAGTAGTAAAAATAGCAATTTTTACGATTTTCAAAATTTCAAAATCCTGTAATTTTCAAATTACTCGCCCGATTAAGCTCATCTTCGAACTTAACCATGGTCTTGATCGATAGATAAAGCATGTTGAATTTGAGAAGAATCGGTTATAAATTGAAAACGCTATCGTGCTGACAAAGCCGCATTATATCGTAACATACATATATAAACTTTTGAACGAACTACATTATCTGACTCAGCTCGACAAACTGAGTCAGAAAATGGCTAAATTTTTTAAAAGTTGCGCCATGAGGACGGCTGCAATAGTTAGATTTTTATAAAATCTACTAAAAAATTGTTTTTATTTTTTGGATCATTATTTCCAAGTATATCAAATTATCTATATTGAAATCAAATAAAAAGTTCTTCGAGATCAAAAACATGACTTCACAACTATTTTGAGCTTTCCAAGTTTTAAGATAGATCTATTATATCGACGTTCTAATTAGCAAATTGTCTAACTCCATTTTAGAAAATCTTCTATTTGTACGAAGAAAACAATTAGTTCAAAATTTATTATCACTTTAAAAAACCATTTAATATCATTATTATCTAATAGAGATATAATATTTAAGTTTGAATCATTCAAATAATTAATAATTGGATTATCGCTACATCAAAATGTTAAAAAATTACTCTCTAAAAAATAGGGAGTTAGACAAATTGCTAATTAGACCGTCGATATATGCTAATATTTCGTATCGATCTGCGATACCGTATAATAGTTATAGTAATTTTTGGGTATTACAAAAAAAAAAAAAATTATTTTTATGTAAAAATATAAACTTGGCACGCCTTTTACAGATCGAATCTATTTTAGTGTCATTCTAAAAAAATTGATACGATATAAGTTAATAAATGACAAGTGTCCGACGTCATAAATAGCACACTATATATTACTAAGATAAATATCAGACAAGTACCCCCCGGAGTTGATGATCCTTCCGGTTGACGATCTACACCAATATGAGGTCACCTAAATGTGTTTCTTTTGACTACTCAAATGAAGATTCATATTTTTCTAACACAATGTAAGCTACGTAGTGAATCGTCACGTGCTAGAGGGTATCAAAACTTGCTGATAAAATCTATGAGGACGCTCTTATATTTAGGAGTGAAGAAAGTAGGCGTGGCAAACAAATAAAAAATATACACTTTTGAATAAGAAATCAAATGATTTTTTTAATTGCTTCATCTCATAAAAAAAAAAAAAAAAAAAAAAAAGAGGAAAAAGGTATTGTTTCATTAAAAAAGCCTGAAGCAAAATTAAACATTATAAAAAAAAAATATCTATAATGGATTTTATGCTATTTTGCCTTAATACTTTTTCGGACAAACTTAAAATGAATAATCATACAAGCTAAATTCCTACCAATAATATTTACAATTATAAATTTATTCAATATAGCTATGAAGCCGTGCGAAAAAAATATTTTTTGTATATATTAACATTATTAATTATCTTAAATAAGAATTACAGTTTTTTTAAGTTTATTTATTATTCAAGTCACGTACTCGCATAAATCAATGTGACAATAAATAACACGATTCTCCATAAAAATCAATACATAATCCTCAGTTAAATACCATGCGGAAATGAATGTATAAAAAATGAATGCTAATATAGAATTCCGCATAGATTAATTTTAATGGTTTTAGTCGATGATTAGCACTAAGGTTCATCAACATATTCGAATCTTTTCTGGTTCTTAGAAATATTTGCAGTTTTTGTCGACTTCTCAACGAATTAAGTATACAATATTGTTGTGAACTCCGTAATAACGATGATTAACCCCTTCTTTATGTCCTTCTTTCTATACTTTATTTTTGGAACCACAAATATAATTTTTACCAATACAGGACGAACAAGTGGAATTGATCCAAATCGAAAAATGTAAGTGGATTTTTAAATAACAAAATACTGTTTTACATCGATATATTTTTTTTCTTGAAAATTCTCATCAACTATAATAGTTTCTCTGCTATATTTGTACACACGGAACATCTTGAACTACATTATTATAATTAGTACTATTTACAAACAGTATCTCATACTTTTATTACATTTGAAATAAAAAATTTATCACATTTCGTACTGACAATTGAAGATAATAGCAAATTTGACTAGCATCAACTTTACAAAGTTAGGGCTTAAGAGGATAAATTTTATTTCGAAATAGGGGCGTTTTATTTGTATTAATTGCCTTATAAATTAAGCAACAGTTAAAAAATTCACATTTTAGTTTTTAGTACCAGCCTAAAACCTAAGTCCTTATAATAACTTCGGATACTTTGAAGTTATCAAAGTAACTTTGAATTTTGAAAATAAAATACTTCGGAATTTCTTTGACTTTTTAGGTAATTTCAGTGGTCGTTAAACTGTTACATCACTAATATCTCCTATTGGTTTTATAGGCCTACAAATCTTGCCAGATCATCAAACTTCAGTAAATCAAACAGTTTCAACACAGACAAATGTAAAAATAATAACTCGTCTGCGGAAGATTGTTTTAATTATTTCAAATTGGCTTTATTCTGGCAAAAAACTTTTGGATATGAAACTCAAAAAAAAGAGGTATAAATATAAACCACGACAAACTTATAGATGAATGGATCGTACACGGATTATGGGCCACAAAGTATTCTGGAATAATTTTGGGGAATTGCAAGAAGAAAAATATTGAATTTTAATATGGAGTATTGAAAAACAATAGATTATTTAAAAAACTTCACTTAATGTGGTTTTCGATTCTCAATACTCATAATTTCAACGATGAATCATTTTGGAAGCACGAATGGGATGCCCACGGGTCTTGCTTGTCTCTTGTTGCAGCGCTGAATAATATTGAGAAATACTTTGGAAAATCTCTTGAAATGTATGAAGAATTGAATATTAATTCAAAACTTGATAATAAAAATTTTAAACCTGGATCTACTGATCCACTGGGAAATATTGTTGATTACTATGACGTCAGATTGATAGAAAAATTCGGTTTACTGTCATTAAAAACATTGTAAGTAATTTTTTTAATATAAAATTTGTATTTGTTTATAAAAAGTACAGTTTTTTGCAAGTAATGAATTAATTTTTTACAGAAAAGAGAAGAGTGGTACTTAATTAAAATAAATACATACATGCTATGATCTCATTGCAATTGATGGATTATAGACGTAACAATTTGTCAGATGATATTAAAGAGAAAAAACACTACTAATAAGAAAAATTTCTTAATAGAAGAAATTATATTCTTGATTATTTTCTTGTCAGAAGAATTGGTCAAATTGAATCAAAGTAATTTTTACTTAATTCAAGTAAAGGTATCCGTTTTTTGATCTATTCTAATAATGGCAAATATTTATTTATGAAGGCAGATATTAATATTCTTTTGTCAAAAAATTTCAAAAATTTGAATTTCAAAAAATTATTGAGCTAAGAAATCCTTTTCTGGGCAACAATTTATTTTTCTCTCAATGTAAAGAGAGATGAATAACTGGAGAACTTTTAAAATCAAAAATAAGATTTCAAAGAAAATTGTTTAACTTCTAAAAAAATTTCTAAACTTTCTACAAAATTTAAATTATGTGAAGCATTTTCATAAACATTAAAACTATTTTTAAAAAGTGAAAATTTTTTTTCATAATTAGCTTACCATTTTAGGAATGGATCATAAATAAAATTTGCAGTATAGATTTATTCTCTCCATAAAAACTACTGTCACTTTTAATCCTTTGGATGATTAAGTTCTTGACATCTATCTTTCATCTCTTGCATACAAAATATTTTTTTCTTTAAAGTGTCCTTTAAGACTCACGATAACTCTTTTCAGAAGCGAGCCTCATATATATCTGTATGTTATGACATTTACATAAGAAAAACATAATCATTTAAATTTGATCTTTGAATAAAAATATTAAAAAATATTCGAGATTGTATTTATTAGCATTAATGGCAAAATAAATAAATAAATTAAAAATAAGTCACAACAGAGTAATACTTAGGCAGTGGCACGCCTTCTTTCGTCACGTACAGTAGCAGTTTCCAGGACCCCGGAGCACTTTTCAGTAGCATCACGCCAAGCCCTGAATGAGACTGACTGGGGAGTCTATGATGATAATCCAAAGCCAAAGTATATATGCAGACTATATACATATCTATCAGATATACATCACTATTTTTATAATAGTGTATTCTTTTCTTCTGCATCATCTTTTTATTGTTGGGTGTATGGAGTGTCCTGATGAGGATCTTGATAGAGATGTGGACATGTGGTGGTGGGTATGGTTATGGTTACAGTGACCTTGTTGGGTGTGGTGGAACTTGGAGCCTGAGGCTCAGCTATACACATGGACATGATGAACCGCATACATAGCGAGTTAACTGCCCGTATGGTTCAAGGTGCATAAATGGTTTTCGACTTTTTCAGTTATAATCGGTTGGCTATTACCGAAGTAGCATCTTAGGGCCGGGCGTATGCCTACTGTTATGCCTTCGGGCACGAACGGGGTAGTCTTGGTCTTGGTCTACAGTTCCAAGCACCATTCACCACGGACTTGGACCTCTAAATATACTCTCATCATCTTACGGCTGTACCAGAATATCCGCAATAAATGCTTACAATAATAATCTTACCTACCTTCGATCAAGTTTATTTTTATGCTATCGACTTTATTTTGCCTTTTTGTTCCTCTTCTAAGTCGTGTCTGGGACTTTTGTAACAACTTTGACTTTCATAACTTGCGATCGATTATGCTGATCTATCTGTGCTCACTGCTCAAACCGGTCCTAAATGTTTTGTATTATCTTATATAGATCAACACCGGATGCTTTGAAAAGAACCCAGAGGATTCGATACACTGAAAATATCTAAATTTTTTTTGATAACCCAAATATTATAGTACTTCCGGTGTTATTATTTTTGGGATTTCAAAATTATTGTAAAACGTCTCTTCACGGAAAAAAGGAAAAGGGAAAAATTACTTTATAAATAGCCATAAGGGTCGCTTTAACTTTAAAACTAGAAAAATTGCAGTTCGAAATAACATTTTTTAAATTCAAACTTTGTATGTTAATTTTCACAGCTTTAAATGTAGTATTTACATTTTAGAATGTAATTTCTACAAAATCTGCAAGAATTACAATCCGAAACTGTCATTTTTTTAGTTTTTTATATGAAGCGCTACATTGTATTATCTTTTTTCCGTGTTGTTTGATAGGTAAATTTATGAAGATTTGGAGGTAAAAGTTATTGTCTGTATGATTATTTGTTTAATTAATTGAAATTTCAAAATCAAGTGCACTTTTGATAACTTTTAATTACACCTAGTAAATCATAAATTACTACTAGATATCGGTGATATTATTAATACAACAAAATACACAGTAAAAAATTGTGCGTCATTGCGTCAAAAAATTTTTATGTTGAATATTTAACATTTTTACGTGCAAATTTAACATTTATTCTGTTAAATCAACACAAAAAAATGTTAAATATTTAACATAAAAATTTTTAACACAAAATTTTTTGACGCAATGACGCAAAATTTTTTACTGTGTACTTAAACTTCAAGTTTGTGATTACTTCCATCTTCCATCACATAACAATTAAAGATTTTTATCGTTTATCCGTGTGTATTACTTGAAAAATTCAGTGATGCTCGATAAGTGACTAAAAATAGTCAAAAGTCGTTTGCAAAGACATTAAGTTGAGTAATTATAAGTACCATACTCAAAATCCAATTTGATCTTAAATTACTTTCGACCAAACTGAATGTTTTTTCGAAAATTATTATTATAAACATTAAATAATGAAAAGTAGTATGAGTGAAGCTAACATCAATATCATTATAATCTGGATCTGTTTTCATAAGGAAAAATTTTCTCGGTATCAGATGTTACCTTACTTTCGTCATTAAATTGAACTCGTAAAATTGAGATTTGTTTATTAAATTGAGTTGCTGTTCTCGCTTCGACACTGATATAAAAATTAAATGTATTCAAAATCATAAATCTTAAACCAAGAATATCATTTGAAGAATTTGATCATTTTGAATAGGGGTGTGCAAATCTTGTTTGAATCAAATGAAATCGAAAAGTGGAATTTGATTCGATATTCGAGTCGAATATCGAATAACTCCAAAGTTTCAATTAAGTCGAACTAAATTCAAACCTTTCGAATCGAGTTTTACGGCAGTCTCACTAGTTCTGGCCTCTCCACACCCATGCACTTTTTTTCTATCGATGAATATTGCTTAAGGGTGTGCGAACCTTGTTTGAATCAAATAGTAAAATATGAGTCGAATATTATATAATTTGAACCTTTTGAACGGTTTTAACTATTCGAACAGTTGACACTATTTGATAAATTCGAAAATTTTGAATATTCCAAATAAGTTATTCGATTCGCCTCGAATTCGAAATTTTGAATCTTTGCACACCTAATTTTGAGCCTAGAAAAGAAATTCTTTAATAAAATAAAATTTTCGTAATATCCAATAAGAATTTCTTAGTTCAATAACTTTATGTTTGATTCGAGATGATCATTCTCTTTAAAAGGATGTTTTTAGTTTAAATTTCTGCCCTTGAATTAAATTAATTTTTTATAAGTGCAAATATAATTGAGTGTTACACCGGATCAATAAATAATTAATCAAATGCACTTAATTGACAGTAATAATCAACAAAGTAAAAAAAAAAAAATTAAAATCACAAATACCTAAAAAACCTGGGTAGGATATGCAATAGGATATCAGTTTCAAGTCTATAGAGTAAAGGTATCTATACTATACTGTATAAAAAAAAACCGAGGACTGGGGATTTAATCACGGGGGCTATCACAATTTCAGTGGGCTTCCTGGCCGCTTCAGAATATTACAGATAATGCCGGATAATAATAATACACCCTATGCAGAGGGAACTTGGCCACGGTCAGTAAGTATATGGTGACGTTGGATACAAGTTAGTTTTGATGCTGGATATGTATATGCACTGGTGTAGTTGCGATGTTGGGTTGAATGATGTAGTCTATATAGTGAATGATGTTGGTGTTGGTTGTGTCGATTGCGGTGATTGTATTGCCAAGAGTATGAGGATCCGAAAGAAAACAAGAAGAAGGAGGAAGAAAGGAGGTTGAATATGAAGGGGAGTTTAAGAAGGCGGCGCGGGAGGAGATTAAGGAAAGGACGAAGAGGTGGATAAGTATAGGTTTGAGGAGGTGGGCCCGGAGGCTTTGCTCGTAGCCAGAGTTACCTTCTGGCGAGAGACAAGAAAGTATACGGGAGTCGGACCCTGCAGATACAGCCTGGGTGCGTGCCAGGCCACAGGGTCAGCTGGACCCCCTTTCGCCTGGTGCTTGGTGCCTGATGCCTGGTTCATCTGCTGATCTTTCCCTTCTCTATACATAATTTATATTTATATCTGTTCTCTCGTTTCTTTCCGTTTCACTTAACAATTTTAATATTTTCTGGTCTATGTAGTTACTACAAATATTTCATTCTTTAATAGATCTTTCCTACTTTTTAATATTTGACACTTTATAAGTATTTTTCTAGTTCGAATCAGTGTAAAGTAGCTAATGGTTATTGATTTTGATTCAATACTAAAAATTTAAAACTTAGTTGATTTTAATAAGTACTATATATTATTTAATATAGCTTAACGTACTGATACTGAATTGAAAGTGAAATTAATATATTATAATATTGGCTCAAAAATTTTTTGTCTCAACTTAAGATCATTATTTCCTTCAAGATTTTATTTTTAATTCAAGATTTTTTTTTAATCAAGTTAACGTTTTTATCGGAGTAGAATACATATCTTTATTATTATAATACATGTAAGCATGCACATGTAAACAACAAAGATAAAGCTAAGGTAAAAACTATTCCTATACCAAAAATTAACAAAAGTATTTTGGTTCTGAAAATTTGTATTTAATGGCAATAAAATACTTTGATTACTCTTTTCATACGCTTAAATATTTATCTACCAGTAAAAATAATAATTGAATTGTGGCTACACTAATTAAAAAAATTGATCCAATGTAGAAAAATCTAAAAGTTAATCATTGTGAAAAATTTAATTTTCCTGAATCAAACAGAAGGTGTTGAGTTAAGAAATTT